ATACTGAGAAGAAGAGGATGAGGAAGAGGAGGACGAGGTAGTGGTGGTGGCCGAGCTGCCCATTGTTGGGGAGGCCATGGTGGAGTGAGGGTTTCCTTGGTGAAGAAGGCTGTGGGAACCTGAGGTTTGACCCAGGGGAGGAGGCGAGTGAGTCTGGGATGATAGCGAGGGGTGCGGGAAGTCTGGGGAGAGGGAAGAGTGGGTGTTGGGGAGGGAGGTGGTGAAGGGGGCGATGTGGCTGGGCCAGTGGGGGGGAGGCGAGCTCTCGCTGGGCAAGGAAGGCGCGTGGAGCCCACCAGGGGATGGGCGAGGGGCCAAAGGCGGCTGGCAGTCCTGGTGAGAGGTGGGGGATGAGGAGGAGGACCCTGATGAGGTACCTTCTGAGCCAAGAGATGTTGATGGTGACTTCATGCCCAGGTGATCATCTGAGGATTGACAGAAACATATATTTTTTAAACTTTGAATTCCGTTTTGTTTGTTTCTTTGCAGGCATTATTGTGTCTCCAATATCAGACCAAGTATTAAGGTATGTAAATGAATTAAAACTTCCGGGTCCAGTTACAGTCTGTTTATTTCATTGATTCTACATATTGTTTGCAAGTTTAGTTTGCAAATGTGTGTGCATACCAAAAGATCAGGTTACGACTTCAAAAGGAAATGGCCTTGAACAAGCAAATAAACAAGTGGAAGAAACTCTGAAGTCTATGAGTCTTTGTAATGTCTTGTCTCAATCTGTGCTCTCCGGAGCAAAACTCCTCAAACATCTTGCACACACAAAAAAGCTTACAGACCACCTTGCTGCTATGGCAACACATTTTACAGGACAATGGGCATCACCAAGACAACCCATAACCCCTCTTAACCCACCCCCTCCCTACAGCAGTTACGTCTTTCATCTCCCTATTCACCCTTCCCCCCTTACGTCACAGTAGAGGTCAAGGGTCAGGCCAAGCTAAGGGTTCTGGGCACTGTCCAGACACTCTGATTGGTCAACTAATCTGACCTGTGCTGCTCGGGGGTCAAATTCTTTCAGAATCTTGAGCAGAGTGAGAAAGAGTAAAAGAAAAAGAAGGGGGAGGGTAACAACAATGGAGAGACAAACTAACTATTCCCTCCTGGAGTGATATAGTGATGGAATGAAAGACTGTACCTAAGTGAAATTCCTTCTCTGTGACTTCTAAACAAACCTCAACCTGCGGGACACATTACAATAACTACCAGATAAACTTTCTTTGGAGGAAGTTTACCTGCAGAGAGTCTAAAGTGCACGCACTGGAAGATATTACCCATTGTAAAACAGAACAAGTGCGAGAGCAATCTCTCTTTCCCCTCTGAATCTTTTTCTTCTCATCCATCTGAGCCCCCCCCCAACTGTGTAGGAGTATACAGTCAATAGGGTTGGGGGGCGAGAAAGAGGGATAAAGAAAGGGGGGGGAAGTATTGAGAAGGTGGAAAATGGGGGAAGAGGGGTGCATAAGAGAGAAAGGCATGAGAGCAAAGGAAGAAGAGAATAGATGGGTGGAAGATTAATCTTTACCAAAAACACTGGCTTCCCTTCCCCCCACCCATGCACTTTATTGTTAACAAATAAGAGGGTGCTCTATACTAATCAAAGACCTCCAGCAGTCAGCGCTGAGCAGCCTGTTGGTTTCCTAGAGGACCAACAGCAAATGAAAATGGCCACAGATGTATGTTAGTTAATCCTACTCTATTCATTTCACAGGGACACGTTTATTGTGTGCCTAAGGCCCCCATTTAGTGGGGCCCATTACAGTGAATGGCTGAACAGGAGGGGTTTCTTTAGTTGACAAACTTAGATCTTCAACTTTTTGATTTGTTCAATCAGGTGCGTTTGTTGGAATGTGTCCATGCATAAATAAACGTGTGAAAATCACCTCGACCAACGACAAAAGCGCACAGTAGCCCAAACAGCGCACACAATGTATGTGCGTCGAAACACAAACTTTTGCTTTGGTTAAGTTGTCCGTGTTTTTGTAGGACTTGAGTTAATTCCGCATGCAGTGTTGAGCACCATTTGTTTGCAAGCTTGTTGCACTCTTTCATGACTTTCAAGACAAAAACGCATGCACACTCGTAAAGATGTGTACTCACCGTGAGATAGCAGCCTTGGGCCCCCCGGATCCGAGTTAACTAGATGCTGGGGTCGCTTCTGCTTCCGGCGTGACATGATTCACTGCGACTCAGAGGGAGAGGGGGGCATCAGTTTGTTGAATGGCAGTAGGCACGTTTTTGCGCACTTGGAAGCGCTCCTGAAACCATCCAAGCATTTAAAGTTCAAGAGTTGCGCACATCCCGAAAGCCCCGGAATAAAAAAGGTAATGTTAAAGGAATATGTAAGCTTACTTAAAAGTGATAAAAGAACGTATGCTTTTTGGAAAAATCTAAAAAAAGGTAGCAATAGTTATTTGGAAATCCGCAGGTCTGCACCGTGCCATATGAAGCTGCCGTGAGTGCGTGTGTGTGGCTGTTTCCTAAAGTCTCTTCTCCCCCAAAAAACTTGTCCAATTTGCGCCCCTCCTCTCCCACTGCTGCCCCGCTGCATGCACATACAGGGAACACACACACTCACACACACACACACACACGCCATACACACTCACAAACACACACAGAACCACTCCTTGTTCTTCAATGATATTTGCATTTCAATGGCGTGTAACACACAGCCTCCCTGCTTCTCTCTTTCTCATTCTCCCCAGCTTTATTTTTTCTTTACACACTCACGCAGCAGCTATAAACTTTCAATAAAACATGACAATTAGGTGTCAAAGCCGTTGGATGGCTTGAAAACAAATGTAAATTGGCGTTAGAATTATCTATTTGACTATAAGATAAATGTTTAAATAATGCCAGGAAGAAAATAAATCATTGTGGGTCAAATTAAGATGCAATAACATGTCTAAAGAAGTAACAGGTGACATTTCCATCAGGAAACATCTGTTTAGGTGTACTGCAGACACTTTCATAATTTCAGCAAGGTGGATAAATAGTCAAATCAAAGCCATAATTTGACTTGCAGGTGGTTTCCAACAGTCAACAATCCGTTTTCCCACTCGTTTTATTAAGCCGGATGAGGAGTGAACATGCGATATTTCTACCCTTTGATTTCCATAGGGCCAATTATCAGCGCACTGAGTTGTGTGCAAGTGGGGCCACACAGCCATTCCACATGCATGTATTTCGTGTGTTATCACCAAGCGTATAATACCCCCCTCCCACCCACCCCCCCTGAAAAAGCATCTTACACTGGAGCTCTATTTAAAAGGCAGAGAATAGATGGGAATCTTTGACAATGGCGTGCTGGACACAGTTGAGTGAGCATCTCCCCTCTCTCACTATGAACCCCCGGATCCACTGCTGCACAGCACAATGCCCCTCTTTCACCCCCCGCCTTTACTCCTGTACCACGTGGAGAATTGGATAAAAGAGGGAGAGAGAGAGAGAAAAGTGGGAGGAGGTGGAGGAGAAGGGGGGCCATATTTAAGTAGGTGTCTCAGATTATACATATATCCACTCAGAGGCTGTGTAAGAAGGGCGTTATTTGATTTGGGGGGTGAAGTTGCATATAGGGTTTGCGGTTTGGAGTGTTCATTAAAATATCTCACTTCATCCAATTTCATCATCACTTGGAAAATAACCTGAAAGTAAAGTCCAAATTCACATGCAGTAAAGTAAGTAGCCAGAGAATAAAAATGCTAATTGAATTTATTTACTTTATAACAAGTGCATAGCCCGAGTTGTATGCAATCATAACCAGAGGTGGAATAAGTAGTACTCAGATCTTGTACTTAAGTAAAAGTAGAAGTACCAAGGTGTAGGAATACTCTGTTACAATGAAATAACCTCTATTCAAAATGTTATTCAAGTAAAAGTATAAAGTATTGGCATCTAAATATAGCCTACTTAAAGTTTCAAAAGTAAAAGTACTCATTATGGAGATTGGCACATTTAAGGATACTATATATTGTTTTGATTAAATGTTCTTAGGTACTTACACCATTCATAAGCAAAAGTTACCTTTTTACATATTTTAAAATCTCCGTAGTGAATGTGTCGAGATTTTACAGTTCAGAGTCTGAGTGGTAATCAGCCAATCAGAATACAGTATTCATTTAGCGTCACCTGCCGAGTGAAGAGCTAACTGGTAGGTTTGTAGCTAATCTCCCGAAATGTACTTACATTTTCCTTTAAAGTGTCCGTAAAAGTTGATCAATATATACTTTAAGAAGTCAAAGTAGTTCTCTTTAAAAACCAGCGGTTAAACAAAACGCGGAGATAGCTGTTAACTAACTGAGCATATCAAATGACCTGCTATCATGCTAATGCTAACATTTAATGGCAGTTGACGTAACATTAAGCTAGCTAATTAAGCTAAGCTACATTGCTACATACTCCTTCACGCAGCAAGGTTTTGGGGAATATATTATTTCATTTGCCAGTAGTAACCCATTTTCTCATTGATCATTTGAAATAGATAAATTGTCCAAAGTAAAACTTGGAGAAAAATGTTCTAACAATAAACATGGACTAAATATTACTTAATGTATGTACACAAAGGTGTAAACAGTGTTTTAAGTATATAATGTTAAGTGTCGAAACTCCTATGTCCTAAGGGATATCCCTAAGCCTAATGATCAGAAAGGAAAACCCCCAAAAATGTATGAAATAGCAAAAGTCATTCAATGTTCACACACACACACTTAGCTTTGTAACCCTACCTGGTTATTCTGTTACCAAATGTTATCAAATTGGTTCTTGAATTTGTAAAACCTCATTTAATATAATACCCAAGAATGTGTGTTAACCCCCACATAGCCTTAGACCTGATATAGCATTACATTATTTGCTTTACCTCGATATTGTTAAAGTCTTTTAAAATCAATTGTATGTCATTGCTTGATAGAACTTTCCGTTAATGACTTGCCTATTGCTTTGAGCTCCATTAATGACATGTTACTGTTCTTCTCACAGTCAGGGCCATGTCTTTCTGCGATGACACGCTCCTGTGTAACTTCCCAAAGTGTCGCACCAAGCTGGGCGGCTTTGCCTGGGTCACAGCTTGCTCGCATGTCTTCTGTGATCAGCACGGGTCCGGTGAGTTCAGCCGCTCCCCCGCCATCTGCCCGGCCTGCTCCTCTGCGCTGTCAGGGAAGCTGGACATTGTGAGGACAGAGCTGTCGCCATCTGAGGAGTACAAAGCCATGGTGCTGGCAGGCCTGCGACCAGATGTGATTCTGGACATCAGCGCCCGAGCTCTGGCCTTCTGGAGCTATCAGGTCAAATATAATCCTGTTTGTATGTATAGGAACATCACTGTAATTGTGAGTCTTGTAATGTTACCAGTGTGCTTGTCTTGTTTTTCCCCTGTCTTTGTAAGCAGGTCCATCAGGAGCGCATGTTTCAAGAGTACAGTCTATCTCGAGCGGAGGCCCAGCTGAAGCAGATGGATAAAGTGGTGACTCAGCAGAACCAAAGCAGAGAGGTGGAGCTCTCCGGCATGAGGGGGGAAATCGCTTCCCTGAAAAAAGTAAACCACCTTTCATAAACTCAAGTGTAGATTTATAACAACACAAATGAAGTTGAAATTGACCTTAATAAGGTGCCGTTTACACGAGGACAAAACGGCTTGTATCTGCATAGTTTCTCTTGCGTATAACCCTATTATTTGCATGAGGCCGATAGAAACGGACCACACAAACGATAACGGGTCCCAAGGTGGATAGATTTGCAAACGAAACTCTGGGGGGTCAAACGAGTCCGTGTAATCGCCTCTATACGAATATTTCCTGAAAAAATAACGATAGCCCCCCACCTCTCCCCACCTCTCCTGCTCACTGCTGTCGCATGGCCAGTAGCCATCTGTAACGATCAACTATCAAAAATAGCTGTGTTAATTAAACGCACAAGGGGTTCTTGAATGAAATAATATTATAAAAGGCAAACCAGAATTGTTAACGCCCAATATACTCCTTAAACAAAATAAACAGAGTCAGATTTCATGCATTGATCCATTATATTGACAATTTTCCAGCCAAACAACACAAACAAAATTAAACAGTCCGCTCTGCGATACACCAAAATTGTCTTTACTGCCTAATCCAGGCCATTATTGTTCATTGCTCCTGCGCCTGTCGGCGTCAAAAAGAGAAATGTTTGTAGGCCTATTCAGGCTATAATCCACACAAAAAAAGGAAACACGAGGACCGGCGTGTCCCAGAGGAGCGATCTCACCCGGTGTTTGTCGAGAATATCTCTCTTTCTGAGCGCGTCCTCTCCACGGAGACGTGCTTCTTGGTCGGTCGATGCAATATCCACAGATTCGGTCTCTTTCAGTTAACTTCCCCGTTGCATTTATCCATATATTTACATGCTGAGGAAATTACTATATTCCGCTGAATACCAGCAATCGCCACACACACTTCCTCCTGTCAGTAGCTACTGCTAGTGCTACTGCTACTGACCATGCTACAGATGTTAGTGCAAAATCTACAGCTCCTCTACCACAACCATCAGCAACAAGTGGACATGGAGAATTACATGAACTACATGTTGCTAAATCCACCGCGGGGCATAAACAGAAGGGTAGCCATGGCAACATTGCTGCGGGGCTGCTCCGGAGTCTTCTTCGATGCTTTTGGTGTATTTTGTGGCGGAAGTTACAGCGCCACTTCCAGTCCCGGCATATGTACTACAGCATTTCCAGCGGTCTCGTTTGAACAGACACGTTAAATGAAATGAATGCATGTGAACGGAAGACTTTTTTGAAAACGCATACTGTGCATAAACGCAAACGTTCCCGTGTGCACAACGCCTAAGACTGTCAATCCTCTTAGGGTAAACATAGCTTAAGGATACCCTTTTTACAATTTTTTTAATGATATTGCAATCTCATTTGATAAACTCTTGTTCTTTCAGGTGATGGAGGAGTATAAAAGGAAGTACAGCGAGGTGTCTGAGCGGCTGATGGAGAGAAACAGGCAGTACCAGAAACTGCAGGGGCTTTACGACTCTCTGAGGCTGCGTAACATGGTGGTGGGTGCGGGGGACAGAGACATGCTGCCACAACCAGGACGGAACGACTATAACATTGGTAAGAACTTGAGATTTATGTTAAAGTTTTAGGTTAAGTCGTAATCTATTTGTTCAGGAGATAAATTGAGGTTTCGCAGTAAGAGGTGGGTATGGTTTGTAGGAGTTTACAAACAATCAGGCCACAAATGTTGTCCTTCCATATACTCTACTAATGTTTAAAAGTGTTTTGCTTTCGTCATACTTCTCCCACTTCCACGGTTATTGTTTTTTTTAATTGGGAGAAACATTAAGACACTGGCTTTCCATCAATGTTTTCAAGTATTTAATTATTATACTTGAATTAATGTACAATTCCAATGTAAACAACAATATTGGTGCCAACTTATTGTCGGAAATGATTTGCCAGCAATGTTGATAATCAGCTATTCATTTCAGAAATTGAACAGGCAGAAATGGCAAGTGAAAGATGAAAAATGTCGACTGTAGTCGGACAAAACAGATAATAGGATGACATCAACAAGCTGTAAAGTTAACCGTTTCCTACATTTTATAGTGTAAATGGCAAACACGGATTAATCCGATAAGGAAATAATCATTTTTCTCACAGTCCAAATCAATGAGTTTGTCAGGAAAATCTTGCTTTTATTAAATCAGTTGTCACATCAGAACTGACGAATGACAAGAGGAAGGAAGCAGAGAGAGAATGATGTTAAAAGGAAAGACAAAGGGAAACACAGCTGTAGGTGTTTTGTGGAGAAGTGGTCCTTAAGGAAAAAACTGTAGGAGCCGATTGTCAATGTAAGGGAATTTCAAACCGGCATAACAATGAGAAACATCCGTCAACCCCCATGTGTGTGGCGCAGGCGTGGCTCGGCAGGGAACTCCCCAGAGGAGCCCACAGTTCCTCTCCGTGGCCCCCAGTGGGGACGGACGGTTCTTCTCCTGCCTGGAGGCTGACGGAGCAAAAAACTTCTTCCAGTACAGCTCCCCCGCCAGGGAGAGAGGCCAGCCCTACAAGCACTGAGACGGCCACAACTGTTGAACTTAACTCCACTTATTTATAAATGCTAAGGTGTTCTAATATTTATTTCTGTTGGCAGTGTTTGCCCTGAGTGCATTTTTGTAGTTATTTCTGTGATTTTGAACTAAACTAGGAGGGAAATCCTATATTCAACCTTCTAAAAAGTGTGTTAAGAAGTACTTGGCAAGACATAGTAAAAACAACATAAACTGTTTCCTGCCTTACAGTCCTCTTTGTTATCTGAGATTCCACCAGTTCATATGAGAAAGAGCTTTACCTGCTTCTGCTTCTAGTCGGAAAAACCTACAAATTGATAAAAAGTATAAGAAGTAGTTGAGCCGTATCTAAGTAAAGACAATGGGTGGCTTTTATCGGTCAAAAACTACGGAAAAAAAGTCAAAATAAATGAAATGAAACATGTTCCTGAAGTGATACAGTGCATATAATGCTACTAAATGAATAACAGTAGGTGGTCTATCATGCAAACACTAATGGTTGTTGATTGGAAGCATAAGGAGACCCACTGAGGTCTAGACTTGAATATTTAGGGTAATGGGGCGGTTTCTCTTGCATAACGAACAACCAAATCGCTCACTATGCTGGTTAACCAAGGTCGCATCAATAAGGGACATTTATAATTATTGTTTTTTAACAATGACATGATTATCATTGTAGTCAAACGTTGGCTTTTTTAACATGAGACATTTTGACATATCTAAGTTGGTAAGACACAGTTGGTAAGACACAGTTGGTAAGACACAGGTGTACATAGTCAAACTAATTATTAATTTAGCTGTTTCCATGTGTCTCTCTCTCTCATCTGTCTCTCTCTCTCATCTGTTTCTGTCTCTCTCTGTGTCTCTCTCATCTGTTTCTCTCTCTCTGTGTGTGTGTCTCTCTCTCTCTCATCTGTTTCTCTCTCTTGTCTCTCTCATCTGTTTCTCTCTGTGTCTGTCTCTCTCTCTCTCACTCTCTCATCTGTTTCTCTCTCTGTGTGTCTCTCTCTCTCTCGTCTCGTTGTGTGTGTCTCTCGTCTCCCTCTTGTCTCTCTGCGTGTCTCCATTTTAAAGTCCTGGTATTGTGCACACAATTGAAGTGAATAGAGCTGAACCATAGGATATATTCCTTAATACACCTGTTCTTTTCCTACTGAGAAGTGCCAAAGTGTCTGCCAGTAAAAAGCAATTTCTTAAAATAACGAATTACAATTATAGTCAATTATTTCTTTACATACATTTTTGGGGACTCTGATGCTGTTTTAAAACAACACGTAAACAACATATGAACGGTAAAATGATTTGCTCAGGGTAAAGTCATAAGTCTGACATCATAACAATCATCAAATGTTAATTCATTTACAAAAAAAGATCTCCGTGTTGTCTCCACAACAAGAGAGTACAAAAAAAAGAATATTTATAAATATAAACAAAGTGTCTATCTAAAGACAAAGTAACAGGGTGACCTCTATTTACAAAACAACACATAAAACAGGCACGAACTTTGGAATATTAACACGTCCACAATCATCAGAACTTCAAAAATCCAGAAAAAAACCGATTGGTCCTCTTGCTGCACTTCCTGCTGCGGGTGCATCTCATTCGCTCTGGCGCGTGTAGCTCACGGAGGCGGCGATCTGACTTTGGACGTTTTGTTTCTTGCCGTTGACGATGAGGAGCAGCGGAGAGTCCACTCGGATACTTCTGAAGTCAAACGACTGCGGAGAGAGGAAATGTGAAAGTGAGACCTTTTAGAAAAACATTTATCGATACAGTTTGAACCCTACACGTGAGACACTAACCTCATCTTTATGAGTTATGCCGTTTCGTTTGAGCAGCGGTTCAGGAATGACTACAGTGTCTCCAATCAGGACGCCCCAACTGTTTGCTGTGTTGTACACCATCACCACGATGCACGACTCCTCGCTGTCCACCATGCCAAACGTACTGGAGGGGGGAAAAGAGCCAAGATTTCACCTACTGCTCTCAAAATCAAGTGAGCTATTAATGAGAAATGAAGCTGCACTCACAAGGCCATGCGACCCTCAGAAGCCAGGCTGAACACCACCTTCCCCAGGGCGGCCACCCCGGCGTTGTGACCGTGCGCGAGGGAGGAAAGAGTCCGGGGCTCCAGGCTGCCGACGCGACCCGTCGGGGATTGGAACTGAGGCGAGGAGCAGGGGCCCAGCGCCGACGTGTGGAGGTTAGAGAGCATCGTCCTTAACCTGCGCGCCTTCACCTTCCCCTGAGGAGAGGCAGAGACGAGGTCAGGAAGACAAGAAATATACATGTGCTTTGCTGACACCTTGTGGTAGAAAAGTGTAATATTTTAGTTAATTTATTACTTCTTCGAGCTGTCATTTCATTGTTAGTTCCCTCCCACTTTAAAGTAAAATGCTCCATTATTTAAATGTCATCTTAAATCAACAACAATGTGGGATCTTTAAAATGTTTAGTCACTTCATTTCAATCTTAAACTGAGGTTTTGATTTTCAAAGAGTCTACTAGTGCTATAATGGTTACATGATCAATCAAATAGCAAGAAAATTGATCAATTGATAACCATTTTGAACACATTTAAAAACTTTGAAGCAAAAAGTGCAAAACATTCCTGGGTTCCAGTTTCTCAAGCAGCTTCTATAGCTGGTTTTCTTACTCTGCTATTACCGTAATGCATTTTTCTCCATACCTTGTTCTGTATGAGTTCTGTGACTTTCCGCAGATACTCCAGCAGCTGCTTCTCTCTCACCCGAGCATCCTCCCAGCCCGGGTCCAGCGCCGCTGCTCGGGTGTATCCGTCCAGCGCAGACCCGAACATCTCCTCGTACTGGAAGAGAGTGGCGCGGTTGTAATGCAGCTCAGGATAACACGAGGCAGCTCTGTCCACTTTCTCCTGCAAACGAGGAGGAGAGAAGCAAAACATTAGTGCGAGAAGTGTCGATAGATTTGAACAAACACGCCTAGAGCTCAGTACTCACCGATTGTGCATAGGCACTCATAGCTTGTTGAGACAACTGTGGCTTCTGTCCGCTGGTGAAAAACAGGGACACATTGGCATTTCCCAGGATGTCTGTCAAAACAAAAACTCATTTTAGCATACATTAGTTTTCTCTCCTCCCTGCTGAATAGTAGAACCCAGACGCTCTACTCACACCAGGAGGTTCCGTCAGTGACGTCCAGCTGGACCGCTTCTCGGGCCAGGACCACGCTGTCCATCACGTGCTTGTTGTGTACGTCGCTGTTCACCGTCGGCACCTGTCTCAGAACCATCGACAGGTTGCGTAGCGACACTTTGTTCCGACTCTACACAGGGGGAAGATAAAGAGTAAGAAACAGGAGTTAATAAGTTAACTATACATGGAGAGATGGGGATAATTCCAGAGGAGTTCTATTCATTCAGAAACAACCATACACAATTATACTGCTTGCATTAGTGCCAGAAATTCTAACTTTTTAAATACCTTGTGTATTACTGATTTGACTTTATGACTGTAAATCATAAAAGGGGTTTCTTGCATTATGGCTTATTATGTATGAAAAACAAAGGGGACAGAATGGAAGATTATGCCTCTCTGAGTTGAAGACAGGACCTTCTCTCTTTCCGTCTTAAATGTACCTGTTGCAAGGCTCCTGTGAAGCAGTTCTTGGCCCCAGTCAGGTCTCCCTTCTTCCAGTACTGCTCCCCCAGTGTGTTCCAGCCCTCCACCAGGCCGGGCTCCAGCTTCACGGCGCGGGAAAGGCACTCTTCGGCGACGGCGTTGAAGTCAGGTGACACGTTCAGGCACCTGCCCTTCTGCAGCAGGAACTCTACTTTGTGTTTTAACTGATCTGTGGGTGTTCGTTAACACAGAGGTACAGCGGGTGTGAATTACATTCTGGAAATTAAAAAGGCCCAAACGCTGTTGTGTAAATATAACCCTTACCTTCTTTTTCCTCCAGCTTCTTCAGTGTCTTTTCCATCTCCTGTGCGACATCATTTTGTTTCCTCCCAGCGTCCTCCACACTGTGAGTCTCAAAATAGTGTTCTCTGAAATTATACAGGTCATCCACCAGCTCCTGTGATGTGAGGAAAAAAGATTGTGAATTCTTGACAGTAGTTAAAAATAGACCAAAGGCACAGTTCTCTGCCTGCAGTGCAGTATTGAGTTCGAAAAAACGATGTCTTCTTTTATTTAATAAGTTGGTGGGGCTATATTGCATAAAATAATATACCTGTAATTAACTAACCAATCCAAATTAAGTTGTAAACATCAATACATTCAAATGTACATTGTAAAAGTGTATTAAGTTACCAAAATACAGGAAACCTGCCATACAAACTGGGAACAAAAGGTGGCCATAACCAGACAAAGAGGCTCTCATGACAGAAGCTTTAGAGTTGCATTATGGGAATTGTAGGATGCAGTTGTCTCGGTGCTTGACCCACATAAGAGTCAGATCCTTTGGTTTTGTGAAGCTTAGTGGAACTGCAATTCTCAAATTATTGAGTATCCCCAAATGAACAACTGCCAAATCATAGTTTTATAGAAAAAGTAAAATAGAGATGAATGTTAATGAGTGGCATTTGTAAAAGGGGAAACGATCTGTGCACCTGCCGTTGGACTCATCGTGTCTAACACAGGTTATTGATAAAGGATGATTTAGGAATGAACCTTGAACTGACTTAATAAAACATCTGTAGTGTCCATCCTTGTTGCATTAAGTCTAAAGTCACACTGACAACCTGGTGACTCAGCAAGAAGTGGATAGATAAGCTAATAATGTACATTAGTCTGGTATCTCACTATCAAATAGGGTGACTGTAAAGCATATTCAACACGTAGAATAACATAAAACTGCACTCATACACCTGGCGTAGTATTTTAAGTAACGGAAAAAAACTAGACAAGGTATGTTAGCATTGCAGTTGTTATAGTAACAAGATGTCAAGCTAGCAAATTGAGATGCACACACAAGAAAACACGCTGAGATCCCGAGAAGTCAACCAAACAATAAGGCTTAGACACTTAGTGGATTTAAATAGGAGTCTTATATTGTTGAAATAAATTACCGTCAACATTTGCAGCTCGTTTTTCTCTTTTACAGGCTCTCCACTCTTCTCCTCCTCCGCCATCTTTTCGTTAGCAGAAAAAAAAAGGCAGTTAGAAAAAAACAAAAAAGGCTGTTAGCAAATTGAGCAGCGACGAAAAAAAATTATTAAAAAATACGAAACAAGTATTTAGTCCAAGTTTATACAAATCAGATGATGACAGGAAACATTTATCTACCCAAATTGCACGAAAACAATGTATTTTAGCGCGAAGGAAATAGGCTTTTAATTTGACTGATAACGGAAGTTAGACAAGTCCGTCTCTGAAATGAACCCGACGGGAATATATATGTTGTAAATGTTCATAAAGGTATAATAATGTATGTATTTTGTGGAATTCTTCCCTTAATGATTTAAAGGGCTGTATGAACTTATTTAGGTTTAACAAAATGTATAAAGAAAGAGTAAATAGACAGTATTGTGATGACCTGTTTTGCTGATGGTGGATTGTTGTGTTGACTTTTGTGATTTTGGTTCCATTTTACTGTAAGTTTTTTTAAGCAGCTGTGACTGACACATTTTTATGTATTTATTGATTGATTTTAATAAGGGGGCAGGTACAATTAGATTTTCTTCTTCCTTCTCCTTTCCATTATTGACTGCCGGAACGTTTCTCACTCACGTTGCTGGTACGACACTTTCCCGCCTTGGACCATACATTATTCGCTCGCAACAAGGCGGGCCAGTGTTCCAACTTTAGTCTAAACACTGTTCATTGTGACAGGTGTCGGTGCATTTAATATCATTGGTTTCTGCTGGTGATGTCGGACACATGGAGCAGCATCCAGGCGCACAAGAAGCAGCTGGACTCTCTGCGGGAGAGGCTGCAGCGGCGGCGGAAAGACACGGCGCTGTCCTCCGGTAAGATCTCACCACGGAGCCTCTGTACTAGCCCCAGGGCTGTACATACACATTGTGTTTGTTATTGGGTCATCGATTGAGTATTTTTACGACAAGTTAACTAATTATAGTCTATAAATGGTCCATGATAAAGAAAAATGTGCATGTTTTGTTTAGCGAGGCTACAATACCTTCTTAAAACGTCCTTGTTGCAGAGTTTGTTAGAAAAAGTGTTGGGGACACTTTTTTCAGATTTAAAAACCACGACTGCGCTCCTGCAAACAATACATGCATACTGTATATACATAATACATATGCTTAAAATACTTTTTTGACAACTAGAGCAGTAACTATGCTACGCTGCTGCAAAGCTATTCTCTAATCAGTTATTACTGATATTAAACGTGTCACATGTCCAAATTGCACCAATTGGTTTTACAGAAACACACGCAAACAGTGTACAATTCTTAGTGCACGATATTTTCAGAACATTTTAAAGAAATTATCTTAATGCAATGTGGTGGGGACAAAATTGGTCATTTCCAAAACATGTCCCCAGTGTAACTCACGAGTATGCAACCTTAATCACTTGTTTAATTGCTACACTGAACGTTTTGCTTAATGGTTAATTGGGGTAAAGATATTTAGGGCTGCAACTAACGATTCAATTCATTATTGATTATATATTAAATTAATGGACTTACCTTTTCGTCAAGATAATTACAGAAAATAGGGAAACATGTCCATACTAGTTTGTCCTGTGATGTCTTTTTAAATGTCTGTCTTAAACCCACAAATATTAAATTGAATATTATGTATAACAGAAAAAGCTGTAATTCTCCATATTTAGCAATAATTTTTCTGTAGATCTACTAATCGACTAGTTGACTAATTTAACAGAAATCTTTTGGGATCTGGAATTTAACAAAACACGACTGCTCAGTTATGTCAGACTATTAATATAAGATAACTAAATGATCTGAAAACCTTTTCCCAGTTAGAAAATAACTGCTGTAATTAAGGATGTGAACCTGTGTTGTCTCCATCAGACAGTGGAACCAGTGCGGAAGGTTCCACAGCCAGGAGTGACAGCCCGGCTCCGTCAGCTGCCCCCCCCTCTCAGGAGGAGACGGAGAGACCACCGGACCCTGAGCTGGAGAAGAGGCTGCTGGCGTATCTCTCTGATCTGAGTCTTCCAATGCCAACAGACTCCCTCGCCATCACAAATGAACTCAGTGTGAGTCTCTAAGTAAAGAAATGCTTGTGAAAATAGGTTTAGTTCTGTATCATAAAAACAACTTCATGCTTTTAATTATTCTGTGTTTACAGTCTGAATCCACAGTCAGTCATGGGAGCATCCAGAGTCTCCTGCTTAAATTCTCAGCTCAGGAGCTCATCGAGGTCCGTCAGCCCGCCTCGGCCTCTTCCTCTTCAGCTTCCTCTCCCTCCATCGTGGTGTCAGTGGACCACACAAAGCTATGGGCTATGATCGGGACGGGGGCTGGAGCCCAGCGACCGGGAGTCAAGAGGAAAACAGAGGATCCAACGCACCACAAAAGAGCTCCCGGTCTGTCGCCCGCCCTTCAGCGCTCGACTTCTCCTCCGCACTCCGCTTTCAGCTCGGTGACGCCGGCGGCCTCCACGCAGCAGGCGGGGCCCTCGGCCTCAGGGAGCGGGGCCGACAAGAAGGGAAGGAACAGTAAAAGCCAGTCGTCTCACTTGGACATGGAGATAGAGAGCCTCCTGAACCAACAGTCAACTAAAGAGCAGCAGAGCAAGAAGGTAGGTGTCTCTTAGAGCTACCAGAATCATTGTAGAGTTAAATAAACGTCAAAGCGAAGCCTAGAAGTTTGATTGCTGATATGTTGTGGGTTTTTTTTGTGTAGGTGAGCAGAGAGATCCTGGAGCTGCTGAATGCCAGCACAGCGAAGGAGCAGTCCATCGTGGAAAAGTTCCGGTCACGCGGCCGAGCCCAGGTCCAAGAGTTCTGCGACCACGGGACCAAAGAGGAGTGTGTGCGCTCCGGAGACACACCGCAGCCCTGCACCAAGTTACACTTCCGGTCAGTGTTCCTCTGCATACTCTAAACACCTTTCTTATCTCTATGTATGTCACCACGCATGATACTTTTATCAGTCTGTTTAAAGCATTCAGCTGTTTTTCATCAATGTTTTTTCTGCCATCTCTCTATTACCACCTGACAACTTATATTTTCTATAAGAGAAATACTCTCATTGGCCTGGAGAGGTCACTATAATCAAGGTTTAACATACTACTTGTACACCAACACTTACTTGCCTGATGTTTATAAAGTCAATAAAGGTCTATATTTAAAACCTATTAAACAAACTGATACCTTGTTCAAGCATTCACAAGTAGACTCAAACTAAGAAAGTTTGGGATAGAAATTGCAAAGTTCTGATTTAAAACTTGGCTGACATTTGCGCAGGGTCAAATATTTATATTTTCTTTCCTGTGTTTACATTTTTGTGCGTTTTTATGGCTCTTTATTCCAACCTGGAGTCATATGAAAAGTCTGTTTATGCAGCCGGTTTACTTTGTGACGCATGTTTTCTCAACAGTCGAATCATCAACAAGCACACGGACGAGAGCCTGGGCGACTGCTCCTTCCTCAACACGTGCTTCCACATGGACACCTGCAAATACGTCCACTATGAGATCGACAGCCCTCCAGAGACAGAGGGGGGGCTCATGGGGCTTCAGGGTGGAAGCACGGAGCTGGGCCTGTGTGGAGGGGACGTCGACAACTCCGAGGGAAAACTGTTCCCCTCACAGGTGAGGAAGAGAGAGGTGGGATGAGGGATAAAGATGGGGTTAAGAGTGGAGGACTAACAGAGATTGTGTTTCTTTGTGCAGTGGATCTGCTGCGATATCCGCTTCTTGGACGTCTCCATCCTCGGGAAGTTTGCCGTGGTGATGGCCGACCCCCCGTGGGACATCCACATGGAGCTGCCCTACGGGACGCTGACTGACGACGAGATGAGGAAGCTCCACATCCCCCTGCTGCAGGACGACGGCTTCCTCTTCCTCTGGGTCACCGGCAGGTAGCCAGGATCCTCGAGTGTCATGATGTCCTTGAACCAAACGCTAACTCACCTGGTCGAAACACCTTTTACTCTTGTCTTCAGCTTTTACCCCTGGAAACAATATATCATCTTTTTTTTTTAATGGTAGCTCGACAAAAAGCTGTAGGATATTCCCATTGTGAAAGTTTCTTACAATACGTAGTCCACCAAGTCTTTTTTCTACAGTTTGAGCCGACATTGAAAAACCTTTACCCAGATCAAATTGTGTCTGCTCCAACTCATCATCTGCACGTCTTCTCCTCTCTCAAGGGCGATGGAGCTGGGCAGAGAGTGTCTCAGTCTGTGGGGGTGAGTCTTGAAGTGTTGAAGTTTAGAAAATGCTCAATTGTATCCGTTATCTTAAGGTTGTGAAAAATATTAATTGATTCCGTTATCATATTTGTTTGTAGTCTCATTGAGTTAACTGTTTGTGTTATTATTTAAATGCACCCTATGTTCATTGACACCATTGATGGTTTAAAAAAGGACATTTATTTAAAGGACGTGTGTTTTACTCGTCATTCATAGCTAGAAAAGTCTGCTGTTGTCTTAAAAGACTTCTGTTAACTTAGATTTTTCGCAATTGCATTCATAGTAACAATTTTAGATGTGATGATAAAGGATTCCAGTCTTGAAATGTTTTTTTAAAGTGCTTAAATTGTACCATCAAAGCTTGTTGCTGCTTTTTTATTCATGTACTTATTTGCATATGTCAGCTACGACCGAGTTGACGAAATCATCTGGGTGAAGACCAACCAGCTTCAGAGAATCATCCGCACAGGGAGGACAGGCCATTGGCTGAACCACGGGAAGGAGCATTGTCTGGTATGTTTGTCTTCCTCTGTTCTTATGTATCTTACAATCTGTTGATCTGCTTCTGTCAAACACTGAAGCTCAGCTTGAAGAATCTTGCCTCCAGGGGTTTCTAACTCTCTGCATGTTCCTTCTTGGTAAATAAGTCCACCCAATAGTTAAAAAGTGTTTAATGAAATGCTACAGGCTCAGTCTTTGTAATTGTCCCTCCAAATGTGTGTCAGGTAAGTGTCTGAAATGTAAAAACACATTTGTTTCTCTTCAGGTGGGTGTGAAGGGAACCCCTCAGGGATTTAACCGCGGTTTGGACTGCGACGTCATTGTGGCCGAGGTAAATAAACATCTCCTCTCATACTGACTGTTTTAATGATTTTCTCCAGCCTGTAAAAGTGACCTCAGTTGATTTGTATTCTGACTTTTCTTTTCCAGGTCCGCTCCACCAGTCACAAACCAGACGAGATCTACGGCATGATAGAGAGACTCTCTCCCGGCACGAGGAAGATCGAGCTTT